ATCTACTCTCTGACTAGAGTAAGATGACAGATGATACTCTCTGCTGAAGTTTCTAGATAACCAACACATGAAAGCAAATGCATGCCAACCTGGCACCATCTCCTTGTTAACCTCACCATGTCATCTACCTCATGTGTCATTCTCCTGGCTAGTGCATGGGTTCGGACTCAAACCATCGACATCTAGATTTGCAACTTCAGGTCTATGCACTACTTGAAAGTCGTACTCCTTTAAGATGAGAGTCCACCGTGCAAGCTTCCCTATGAGCTTGTCGTACTCCATCAACAACTTGAGCGGCTGATTATCAGTAACAAGGGTGAATTGCGTACCAAACAAGTAACACCTAAAGTGTGCCACAGCCCACTCTGCTGCCAAGCACTCATCCTTGTACGAACTATACCGCGACTCTGCTGCATTGTTCGAACGAGTTGCATACGCTACCACAAACTCCTTGCCCTCATCATCACGTTGCGTCAACACCGCTCCAAGTCCTAACATACTCCAATCAGTGTGCAACTAGTATGGACGACCTCTGATAGGTCTCCTCAAGATGGAAGCGGCCACCAACCTGGCTTTGAGCTCAACAAAAGCTCTCTCCTGCTCATCTCCCCATTGCCACTCATCATTTGACTTCAGCAACTGGTTCAAAGGCTTGGCTATAGCACTGAACCCCTTCACATACCTCCGGTAGTAGTTTGCCAAACCCATGAATGCACGATTTCTACTGACATCCGTGGGACGAGAGATGCGTGCAATAGCCTCCACCTTTGCTTGCTGAACTGCCAAACCACCTGGGTAGATTTCATGACCCAAGTACTCAACCTTCTCCTAGAAGAACTTACACTTCCCAGGATGTAAGCTCAAACCATGAGCCCTCAACCGCTCAAACACAACCTGCGAATGAATCTGGTGTTGCTCCACAGTGTCACTAAACACCAAGATATCATCAATGTAACATATGATAAAATCCAACCCCGCCAGGATTCTATCCATAACCCTCTGAAACTCGGCAGGTGCATTCTTCAACCCAAAGGGTAAGAATCGCCACTCATACAAACAATCCTTGTTGTGGAAGTTGACACCCCAAAACGCTGTTTAAACCTAACATGGTTCAACGTACGGTTGACACCATCAAACATGCGGATCTTTATAGATCCAATACCCTCAATTCTACGGAGACTAGTCGTTGCCCATAAGAACTGAATCGTTTGATACGGAGAAAGTACAAAAGAACTCTCTAATGTAACAAATGTGATAAGAATAAGCAGTGTCCAGAATCCATACATCACCAACAACTTTTGGTGAATTGCAAAGGCGTATCTCTAACATCATAAGCCGTCTGTGTACAAATCATTTGCCTTAATATCAAGATGTTCATCAACGTTCGTCAGTGAAGGGGAGGCTACACTTGTCATCCGACAACACTTCATGATGTGGCCTTTCTTACCACATCTCCAACAAACAACATTCTTCTTGTGAGATGGTAGAGCCATAAACTGCAACTTACTTCGGTCAGAAGATCTTGATCTCTGCCTCTTCAATCCTGAACCTTGCGAATCGTTAATATCTTTCGGTTGTGATTGACCTCGAGTCATAATAAGTGTTGTCTCGGAAGTGAATGGGACGGAGGAGGATAACAAATGCTGCTTAACCACATCCATCAGAAGGGCACTTTCAACCTCATTGTAAGTGATTTTTGTGTTCTAACAATGAAGAAGAGTTTTTGATAACGTCTCGTAGTTAGACGGCAATGAGTGGAGAAGATGCATTGACTTCTTTGTGTAAGTAAGCTACTTTCCCATATTCCAGATCCACCAATAGATTTCCATAGGCATGAATGTGATCTTGCATGGGGGGCTTTATTGTAAATAGTAACAATCGTAACATGTAAATGTTCATCACAATCGTCAAATTCTTATAATGGAAATGTTACTCAAGTGCATCAGCAACTTGCAAACTTTAGAGCACTCCTCAACATGCTATAGGAAAACGGATGTGGCCCTAGTCTGGCCCCCAAATAAAAATAAGGAAATTTTACGTTGGAGCTGATTTAGTTATGTCAAAACAAAAGAAAATATAAATCAATTTAGATGTAACATTTCAATCTTGCATTCTAAAAGATAGCATGTCTCAAACTCTTTAAAATAATTAAAAATTTTATGAACTTCCATGAATTTTTTCAGAATAATGTAAACATGATTCATTTTTCATTTAGAGAGTATTAGTATATTTTTAGCCCTTTATAAACAGATATTCTTTCCATTGTATTATCGAGGTTTTGTTGATTTCTATCTTTTTAATTATATTTTGAAATTATACAAGTTTATGTCAATGATCTTCATATATTGCATGTATTTGATTTTATTTATTTTTAACTTTTAATTTTAATTATGTTATTGAATTACTTATATAGTAGAGCAAAATAACTAAACAGAAATTTGAAACAAAGAATAAGTCGATTATCTCTTCAAGCTGTAATTGTGATACATGCATTACTTTAATATTAACTAATATCATTCTCTTGTTTCAATAAAAAAACAGTTTAACATAATATATATAAAAAAAAAACTCTTAAAGTATCAACATTCATGCAGTGGAATAGGAATTTGATTTAGATTTCACGAATGCGGTATTGCAAGTCATAGAAAAAAAAATGAACAAATTTTTTCAGATTGATTCATCAATCTTGTATAAATATTGAATAAATAAAATTCTTACAAATATAATATTTTTAGTTTTATTGAACGTATTTCATAACTAATAATGCAATCTGATACTGTATCTTCATTAGATTTCATAAAAATTTATTTTTTGATAAAAGCATCAAACAAGACAAGTTCAAAGTCAATATTGAAAGCAAAATTTGATAGATTTCAATTACATGAAAAAATGAAGAATAAGAATTTACATTTTGTTTTATGAATCTCACAAAAGAAATTCACATGTCATGTTTAAAATTCAAAGTTGTAAGAAGAATAATCAACAAATTACAAACTATTTTTAAAAATCAATTCAATCTTCATTTTTCGTATTCAGCATTTTACATATATTTGGAATAAGTATTTTTTGTGAATATCAAAAAATCAGTAAATTTTAATATGATAGCATTAATTTTCAAAGAGATTCATAAAACTTTTTAAAATAATAATTTATACTGTATAATAATTTTTCTATTAAAGATTTGTCTTAAAAAATTAAAAATGTTTTCCTTTCTATGTCAATACTATTCAAATTTAAAATTACTAGAATATTATTGAAAATCATAAAAATTTAATTATATGATTTTAAATTTAAATCTTTTAAGGCCAAATTTGCACTTGAAAATAAAAAACTGAATTCATGAATATGATATTTTTATAAGTGTGTCCAACAAATATTTTTAAAATTTTGAAGAAATATTTTGTATATTTAATATTTTAGAGTATAAGAAAATCAAACATTCACTGTGTAAATCTTTGTTAAATAACAATATTGAAATTAAAAGTTGAAGATGTTCATCTAAATTCAATGAATACATAAAATATGTTGTCATTCAGGCACAAAGTTTGTTAATAAGTGTAATTAATATCATCAAATCTCTTGTTACATAGTTTCATTGATTGATTACATCCAAACCAATATCCAAATATTTTCTAACCACATTTTATTTAAGTTTATTTTATGAAAAAATTAGTTTTTTACATTTTGTAATTAAAATATTTACCAAAAAAACTATAAACTTTTAATCATTTTTAAGAAAACATATTTCTTAATTATTATTTTTTTGGTTTTTTCCAAGGAAACACACGCCTACTTCTTTGCTAGGATATGTGATGATGAAAGGAACCGCTACGAGTGTAGAGAATAATTGTTGAATAGGAATTGTTGAATACAAGCTGAATAGGTTTTGTTGAACGAGAGCGGCATACAGGGCAACACCCTGAACTTACTTCCGTGTTAAGCTCGTTCTCGTGTAAACGCATTCTTTGACACAAGAACCGAGGCAAAGAGAAACAGTAACAGGCAATTCAATTCGGAATTCGGAATAGACCTCTAATTGCTACGTGAAATTAACTTCTTCCGAGCAATAAAAATGGAAATATTCTGAAGTGTGAGAATAGACTTCCAAAAAATGTTCAATTTTCTCAAAATTTTACCCTAATTTTTGAATAAACGCATGGATTGAGTAGAAAATATTCACTCTTCCATTGTTCTATTAGAAATTTATGATCAAAATTATTTTAACTTAATTATGATTTAATATTTTTAAGTATTATTTTTCAGATTTAGTGTTAACATCATAGATTTTTTGTACTTTTTGAATTGAAATACAAACTTCAAACACTTAAATATATCTTTATGTAACTTCCATTTTCCTATAAATCTATCTGGATTAAAACTATCTTTCAAAGATGTCCACATTTTGAAGATACGTGGAAAAAAAACCTGTTGAAGAATTTCTAAAACAGTGTTTTGTCAAAAGTCGAACAATTTTTACTTTAACATTGAAAGATAATAGTTTGAAGTAGCAATAATACAATAACTACAAACTGATCAGATTTGTGAAAATTTCAAATCAAACCCTAACCCCCAAATACAAACTTCTATTTTTTTTAAATTAAACACCGTGAGTAGCTAATCTTGTAGCTATTGATGGTTTTATAACTCTTAGAAGTAAAAGAAAAATACAATATTTCTAGAGTTCAATATTTAACTATCATTGACAAAATATGATCAAATGTTGAGTAACATTCCATCATACTTTTTGAAATCAAATCCAAATCATGCACTTTTTTAAAAAAAGTTCATGTGATTAATTTTGTTTTCTTTTAAAAAAATTATATTTATCACTATCACAATATTGAAAAAATAAAATTCTACGAAGACATGTTCTGTGATTCTATGTTTTCAACTTGAGCCAAAGAACAAATGTTTGAAAAATTTATACAACTTCAAAGTAATATTATGATTAAATATACAATGAATTAGTACATGAATTACTAAAAATAATACAAAATTAAATGAGATGCATTTGGGCCTGTTAGGCCAAAGGGCCTGCATTTGTGCGTGTTGCTGGGCTTGCATCTGAGCTTGTTGCTGAGCTTGCATTTGGGCCTGCTGCTGCGCTTGTTGCTAGGCCTGTTGCTGGGCTTGGATCTGGGCCTGCTGCTGAGCTTGAATCTGAGCTTGTTGTTGGACCTGCATTTGGGCCTGCTGCTGCGCTTGTTGGGCTTGCATCTAAGCCTGTTGCTGCGCTTGTTGTTGGGCTTGCATTTGGGCCTGTTGCTGGGCTCGTTGCTGAGCCTGCAACTGCGCCTGCTGCTGAGCTTGCAGTTGGGCCTGCTGTTGGGGTTGCAACTGGGCCTGCTGCTGCGCTTGTTGTTGGGCCTGCTGTTGTGCGAGACCCATCACCCGTTCTTGACCCCACTTTTGCACGTTGGCCTTCCCCCGGCAATTAGAGGCCCGAACTGTCTGCTCCTACGTGGCCACCAAATTCGGCCACACCAACCTAACCCCACCAGCCAGACCTTCGGCCGAACTACCGGCGCCGTCCGTGCTCCGATTCTGCTTCACCCTACGTTCTGCGTCAACGCTGAGCTCTTGGTCTCATCCAACGGGCCAGCCCCAGCGCCACTCCCACTCGCGCTCCCGCTTAAAGGCGCTTCCGTGCCTGCGATTCGGATTTCGCATTTGCGATTCCGCTCATATGCGCCCTTGTTAGGAGACCTTCTCGGGGTTCATGTCAATGGTACCTAATTTCCCGGCCCCGGCCGAAGGACCAGCACCCTGCTGCTGCTGCACCGACTGAGCCATGGGCCCAGATCCCTGGCCCCCTCCAGGAGAGTAGACCGTTAAGCCGGGTTGAGAAACTCCAGATGACAAACTGCTCATCCCCTCGGGTCCTGGTGTGGATCCTCCGGTTGGGTAGTTCATTACAAGACCTGCAGAACGATCTGATTGTGCTGCAACTCCGGAACCTCGCCATAAGTACAGCTGGGCCCGGGTTCCCAGGGCCAGCGGAAAAACTCATATTAGACGCCCCAGTCGGTCCGGACTATAAAATCCCGGAAGAGTAACCGGACATGGATCCTACTACTAGACCTGATTGTACAGCGCTTGCATTGAAGCTGGGCAAGACGCCAAGTCCCTGAACCGTTTTCGTATTGGTTGATGATTGCTGGTAGCTGGAGATATTGCTGCCAGCTGATACCGTCTGTGACAGTGAGGGATAGATCGTTGCAGGCCCCATGCAAATGGCTTGGGCACTGACAGAAGTGTAACTAGAGAAAGTTCCTCCCATAAGACTTGATTTGGGAGCTCCCGGGGAGAAGCTTGTCATTGAGCCCGAGCTGATCCCAGGCTGCCCGACTCCGGCAGGACTATTCGGCACTGAGCTTGCACCGCCTCCTAAGCCTTGTTGTGCACCTGCTGGAGAGTGCCCTGATGAGTGACTACAGCACCAGAACTTAACTTTGAAGGGCCAGGCGAAAATTTGACAGGGCTGCCCGTGCTCATCGCTCCTTATGCTATGCCAGATGGTTTGTTGAACATTGTTCTTCCTGAAGGAACAGATTGGGCTTGGACACCTCCCGACATCGGACTAGATGACGTTGGGGCATGGCCGGACTGCCCGCTCACGGATGTAGGTACATTGGAGGAGCCAGGTTGATGTCCAGGGCTCGAAGAAGTTGGCAAACTCAGGGATCCTGAACCTGGTTGAGCACCACTCAGCACCTGCTGTTACACTGCGGACGAAAATGCGGGCATCGTTCCGAAACTAGTCACGACCCCTCCGTTTGAGGCACTGGAAACAGCACCGGCGTTGGCAGTATGCGAAACAGTTGACTGCTTGGGAGGTGACTAACCCACGTTCGAAACAGATGCAGAACCAGATGGGGTTTTGGAAGACGAAATGAATGGTCTTCCTAAAGCGCCAGAAGAGTATACTTGTCCCGTTTTACCAGACGGAGGCCTGTCAACAACAGCTTGACTCGTCACTTTCAGAGGCACAGCAGATGAGTTCCCGGGAGATGTACAGGAAGCAGCAGCAGAACTAAATCTGTGAGAAGGTGCACCAGGTGAAACAACCAACCCAGCAGGTGCTTCATCAGTGGTCATCACGTTTGCAGTACTTTTCGCTGCATGCTGCTTCTTCACTTGCAATGGTGCCTCTTGCTCTCTAACCCAACAAGGTCCGAAGGGAACACCCAGCGCAAGAACTTTTCGCAACTCACGTGCGACATAGTGCCAAGCCTTCGGCCCGAGAATTGCTCCGAATTGTGCTAGACTTCCGCATACGAGTATCAGACCTGAGCACCCACCTGGAAAGCGGCATGGACCAAAATAAGTACCATGCAGGTTGTAACAAGAGTACATAGATCAACCCTGCCAAATACTGAACCTCTTGTGAGATGGTGACGACATAGTCATAGAATGTCAGTGGTGAGGAGCAGAAGGGGGATCTACAGAGAATTTCACAACAGTTCAGCTTATGGATTTTCTCTCCACTTCAACCAGCAGCAACCACATAGTCACTTTCCTCAACCAACGACATAGCAGTTGCATGATAATTCATGGCCGAAACGACCAATCACAAGCCTCCACACTAACAATGGAAACCAGTTCAATAGATGGGCATAGATATCAACACCAGCCAAAGCAAATTCAATCAACAAGTTTCCAGAATTTTCAAATTCCTCCTACATCAGTCACAGCACTTACAAGAAACTCCATGCCACACAGTAAGATTCAGCACCCTGGTTGTTTCCGCCCAATCAATATTGCTTCATTCGGCAAAACACAATCAATCCCTCAGTTACGAAGGGGCACGAGGCACCAGCTTCGTGTCCCCTCGTAACGGAGGGGTGATTGCTGAAATCACATATCTTGCAAATCCCTTATATACACAAAAGTTGCATTCACCGCTCAGCTTATGGGTTTTCCCTCCACTTCAACCAGCAGCAACCACAGAGTCACTTTCCTCAATCCACGATGAACAGTTGAAAAATAATTCATTGACGAAACGACCAATCACAAGCCTCCACACTAACAATGGAAACCACTTCAATACATGTACAAAGAAATCAACACAAAACCTCAGCAAAATACATCTACAAAGTTGCCACAAGTTTTCAAATCCTTCTACATCGATCACAGCTCTAACAAGAAACTTCATGACACACAGAAAGATTCAGCACCCCGCTTGTTTACGCCCAATCAATATTGCTTCATTCGGCAAAACACAATCATACCCTCAGTTACGAAGGGGCACGAGGCACCAGCTTCGTGTCCCCTCGTAACGGAGGGGTGATTGCTGAAATCACATATCTTGCAAATCCCTTATATACACAAAAGTTGCATTCACCGCTCAGCTTATGGGTTTTCCCTCCACTTCAACAAGCAGCAACCACAGAGTCACTTTCCTCAATCAACGATATAGCAGTTGCAAAATAATTCATTGACGAAACGACCAATCACAAGCCTCCACACTAACAATGGAAACCACTTCAATACATGTACAAAGAAATCAACACAAAACCTCAGCAAAATACATCTACAAAGTTGCCACAAGTTTTCAAATCCTTCTACATCGATCACAGCTCTAACAAGAAACTTCATGACACACAGAAAGATTCAGCACCCCGCTTGTTTACGCCCAATCAATATTGCTTCATTCGGCAAAACACAATCAATCCCTCAGTTACGAAGGGGCACGAGGCACCAGCTTCGTGTCCCCTCGTAACGGAGGGGTGATTGCTGAAATCACATATCTTGCAAATCCTTTATATACACAAAAGTTGCATTCACCGCTCAGCTTATGGGTTTTCCCTCCACTTCAACCAGCAGCAACCACAGAGTCACTTTCCTCAATCCACGATGAACAGTTGAAAAATAATTCATTGACGAAACGACCAATCACAAGCCTCCACACTAACAATGGAAACCACTTCAATACATGTACAAAGAAATCAACACAAAACCTCAGCAAAATACATCTACAAAGTTGCCACAAGTTTTCAAATCCTTCTACATCGATCACAGCTCTAACAAGAAACTTCATGACACACAGAAAGATTCAGCACCCCGCTTGTTTACGCCCAATCAATATTGCTTCATTCGGCAAAACACAATCATACCCTCAGTTACGAAGGGGCACGAGGCACCAGCTTCGTGTCCCCTCGTAACGGAGGGGTGATTGCTGAAATCACATATCTTGCAAATCCTTTATATACACAAAAGTTGCATTCACCGCTCAGCTTATGGGTTTTCCCTCCACTTCAACCAGCAGCAACCACAGAGTCACTTTCCTCAATCCACGATGAACAGTTGAAAAATAATTCATTGACGAAACGACCAATCACAAGCCTCCACACTAACAATGGAAACCACTTCAATACATGTACAAAGAAATCAACACAAAACCTCAGCAAAATACATCTACAAAGTTGCCACAAGTTTTCAAATCCTTCTACATCGATCACAGCTCTAACAAGAAACTTCATGACACACAGAAAGATTCAGCACCCCGCTTGTTTACGCCCAATCAATATTGCTTCATTCGGCAAAACACAATCATACCCTCAGTTACGAAGGGGCACGAGGCACCAGCTTCGTGTCCCCTCGTAACGGAGGGGTGATTGCTGAAATCACATATCTTGCAAATTCCTTATATACACAAAAGTTGCATTCACCGCTCAGCTTATGGGTTTTCCCTCCACTTCAACCAGCAGCAACCACAGAGTCACTTTCCTCAATCAACGATATAGCAGTTGCAAAATAATTCATTGACGAAACGACCAATCACAAGCCTCCACACTAACAATGGAAACCACTTCAATACATGTACAAAGAAATCAACACAAAACCTCAGCAAAATACATCTACAAAGTTGCCACAAGTTTTCAAATCCTTCTACATCGATCACAGCTCTAACAAGAAACTTCATGACACACAGAAAGATTCAGCACCCCGCTTGTTTACGCCCAATCAATATTGCTTCATTCGGCAAAACACAATCATACCCTCAGTTACGAAGGGGCACGAGGCACCAGCTTCGTGTCCCCTCGTAACGGAGGGGTGATTGCTGAAATCACATATCTTGCAAATCCTTTATATACACAAAAGTTGCATTCACCGCTCAGCTTATGGGTTTTCCCTCCACTTCAACCAGCAGCAACCACAGAGTCACTTTCCTCAATCCACGATGAACAGTTGAAAAATAATTCATTGACGAAACGACCAATCACAAGCCTCCACACTAACAATGGAAACCACTTCAATACATGTACAAAGAAATCAACACAAAACCTCAGCAAAATACATCTACAAAGTTGCCACAAGTTTTCAAATCCTTCTACATCGATCACAGCTCTAACAAGAAACTTCATGACACACAGAAAGATTCAGCACCCCGCTTGTTTACGCCCAATCAATATTGCTTCATTCGGCAAAACACAATCATACCCTCAGTTACGAAGGGGCACGAGGCACCAGCTTCGTGTCCCCTCGTAACGGAGGGGTGATTGCTGACATCACATATCTTGCAAATCCTTTATATACACAAAAGTTGCATTCACCGCTCAGCTTATGGGTTTTCCCTCCACTTCAACCAGCAGCAACCACAGAGTCACTTTCCTCAATCCACGATGAACAGTTGAAAAAAAATTCATTGACGAAACGACCAATCACAAGCCTCCACACTAACAATGGAAACCACTTCAATACATGTACAAAGAAATCAACACAAAACCTCAGCAAAATACATCTACAAAGTTGCCACAAGTTTTCAAATCCTTCTACATCGATCACAGCTCTAACAAGAAACTTCATGACACACAGAAAGATTCAGCACCCCGCTTGTTTACGCCCAATCAATATTGCTTCATTCGGCAAAACACAATCATACCCTCAGTTACGAAGGGGCACGAGGCACCAGCTTCGTGTCCCCTCGTAACGGAGGGGTGATTGCTGAAATCACATATCTTGCAAATTCCTTATATACACAAAAGTTGCATTCACCGCTCAGCTTATGGGTTTTCCCTCCACTTCAACCAGCAGCAACCACAGAGTCACTTTCCTCAATCAACGATATAGCAGTTGCAAAATAATTCATTGACGAAACGACCAATCACAAGCCTCCACACTAACAATGGAAACCACTTCAATACATGTACAAAGAAATCAACACAAAACCTCAGCAAAATACATCTACAAAGTTGCCACAAGTTTTCAAATCCTTCTACATCGATCACAGCTCTAACAAGAAACTTCATGACACACAGAAAGATTCAGCACCCCGCTTGTTTACGCCCAATCAATATTGCTTCATTCGGCAAAACACAATCATACCCTCAGTTACGAAGGGGCACGAGGCACCAGCTTCGTGTCCCCTCGTAACGGAGGGGTGATTGCTGAAATCACATATCTTGCAAATCCCTTATATACACAAAAGTTGCATTCACCGCTCAGCTTATGGGTTTTCCCTCCACTTCAACAAGCAGCAACCACAGAGTCACTTTCCTCAATCAACGATATAGCAGTTGCAAAATAATTCATTGACGAAACGACCAATCACAAGCCTCCACACTAACAATGGAAACCAGTTCAATAGATGGGCATAGATATCAACACCAGCCAAAGCAAATTCAATCAACAAGTTTCCAGAATTTTCAAATTCCTCCTACATCAGTCACAGCACTTACAAGAAACTCCATGCCACACAGTAAGATTCAGCACCCTGGTTGTTTCCGCCCAATCAATATTGCTTCATTCGGCAAAACACAATCATACCCTCAGTTACGAAGGGGCACGAGGCAGCAGCTTCGTGTCCCCTCGTAACGGAGGGGTGATTGCTGAAATCACATATCTTGCAAATCCCTTATATACACAAAAGTTGCATTCACCGCTCAGCTTATGGGTTTTCCCTCCACTTCAACAAGCAGCAACCACAGAGTCACTTTCCTCAATCAACGATATAGCAGTTGCAAAATAATTCATTGACGAAACGACCAATCACAAGCCTCCACACTAACAATGGAAACCACTTCAATACATGTACAAAGAAATCAACACAAAACCTCAGCAAAATACATCTACAAAGTTGCCACAAGTTTTCAAATCCTTCTACATCGATCACAGCTCTAACAAGAAACTCCATGACACACAGAAAGATTCAGCACCCCGCTTGTTTACGCCCAATCAATATTGCTTCATTCGGCAAAACACAATCATACCCTCAGTTACGAAGGGGCACGAGGCACCAGCTTCGTGTCCCCTCGTAACGGAGGGGTGATTGCTGAAATCACATATCTTGCAAATTCCTTATATACACAAAAGTTGCATTCACCGCTCAGCTTATGGGTTTTCCCTCCACTTCAACCAGCAGCAACCACAGAGTCACTTTCCTCAATCAACGATATAGCAGTTGCAAAATAATTCATTGACGAAACGACCAATCACAAGCCTCCACACTAACAATGGAAACCACTTCAATACATGTACAAAGAAATCAACACAAAACCTCAGCAAAATACATCTACAAAGTTGCCACAAGTTTTCAAATCCTTCTACATCGATCACAGCTCTAACAAGAAACTTCATGACACACAGAAAGATTCAGCACCCCGCTTGTTTACGCCCAATCAATATTGCTTCATTCGGCAAAACACAATCATACCCTCAGTTACGAAGGGGCACGAGGCACCAGCTTCGTGTCCCCTCGTAACGGAGGGGTGATTGCTGAAATCACATATCTTGCAAATTCCTTATATACACAAAAGTTGCATTCACCGCTCAGCTTATGGGTTTTCCCTCCACTTCAACCAGCAGCAACCACAGAGTCACTTTCCTCAATCAACGATATAGCAGTTGCAAAATAATTCATTGACGAAACGACCAATCACAAGCCTCCACACTAACAATGGAAACCACTTCAATACATGTACAAAGAAATCAACACAAAACCTCAGCAAAATACATCTACAAAGTTGCCACAAGTTTTCAAATCCTTCTACATCGATCACAGCTCTAACAAGAAACTTCATGACACACAGAAAGATTCAGCACCCCGCTTGTTTACGCCCAATCAATATTGCTTCATTCGGCAAAACACAATCATACCCTCAGTTACGAAGGGGCACGAGGCACCAGCTTCGTGTCCCCTCGTAACGGAGGGGTGATTGCTGAAATCACATATCTTGCAAATCCCTTATATACACAAAAGTTGCATTCACCGCTCAGCTTATGGGTTTTCCCTCCACTTCAACAAGCAGCAACCACAGAGTCACTTTCCTCAATCAACGATATAGCAGTTGCAAAATAATTCATTGACGAAACGACCAATCACAAGCCTCCACACTAACAATGGAAACCAGTTCAATAGATGGGCATAGATATCAACACCAGCCAAAGCAAATTCAATCAACAAGTTTCCAGAATTTTCAAATTCCTCCTACATCAGTCACAGCACTTACAAGAAACTCCATGCCACACAGAAAGATTCAGCACCCCGCTTGTTTACGCCCAATCAATATTGCTTCATTCGGCAAAACACAATCAATCCCTCAGTTACGAAGGGGCACGAGGCACCAGCTTCGTGTCCCCTCGTAACGGAGGGGTGATTGCTGAAATCACATATCTTGCAAATCCCTTATATACACAAAAGTTGCATTCACCGCTCAGCTTATGGGTTTTCCCTCCACTTCAACAAGCAGCAACCACAGAGTCACTTTCCTCAATCAACGATATAGCAGTTGCAAAATAATTCATTGACGAAACGACCAATCACAAGCCTCCACACTAACAATGGAAACCACTTCAATACATGTACAAAGAAATCAACACAAAACCTCAGCAAAATACATCTACAAAGTTGCCACAAGTTTTCAAATCCTTCTACATCGATCACAGCTCTAACAAGAAACTTCATGACACACAGAAAGATTCAGCACCCCGCTTGTTTACGCCCAATCAATATTGCTTCATTCGGCAAAACACAATCATACCCTCAGTTACGAAGGGGCACGAGGCACCAGCTTCGTGTCCCCTCGTAACGGAGGGGTGATTGCTGAAATCACATATCTTGCAAATCCCTTATATACACAAAAGTTGCATTCACCGCTCAGCTTATGGGTTTTCCCTCCACTTCAACAAGCAGCAACCACAGAGTCACTTTCCTCAATCAACGATATAGCAGTTGAAAAATAATTCATTGACGAAACGACCAATCACAAGCCTCCACACTAACAATGGAAACCACTTCAATACATGTACAAAGAAATCAACACAAAACCTCAGCAAAATACATCTACAAAGTTGCCACAAGTTTTCAAATCCTTCTACATCGATCACAGCTCTAACAAGAAACTTCATGACACACAGAAAGATTCAGCACCCCGCTTGTTTACGCCCAATCAATATTGCTTCATTCGGCAAAACACAATCATACCCTCAGTTACGAAGGGGCACGAGGCACCAGCTTCGTGTCCCCTCGTAACGGAGGGGTGATTGCTGACATCACATATCTTGCAAATCCCTTATATACACAAAAGTTGCATTCACCGCTCAGCTTATGGGTTTTCCCTCCACTTCAACCAGCAGCAACCACAGAGTCACTTTCCTCAATCCACGATGAACAGTTGAAAAATAATTCATTGACGAAACGACCAATCACAAGCCTCCACACTAACAATGGAAACCACTTCAATACATGTACAAAGAAATCAAAACAAAACCTCAGCAAAATACATCTACAAAGTTGCCACAAGTTTTCAAATCCTTCTACATCGATCACAGCTCTAACAAGAAACTTCATGACACACAGAAAGATTCAGCACCCCGCTTGTTTACGCCCAATCAATATTGCTTCATTCGGCAAAACACAATCATACCCTCAGTTACGAAGGGGCACGAGGCACCAGCTTCGTGTCCCCTCGTAACGGAGGGGTGATTGCTGACATCACATATCTTGCAAATCCCTTATATACACAAAAGTTGCATTCACCGCTCAGCTTATGGGTTTTCCCTCCACTTCAACCAGCAGCAACCACAGAGTCACTTTCCTCAATCCACGATGAACAGTTGAAAAATAATTCATTGACGAAACGACCAATCACAAGCCTCCACACTAACAATGGAAACCACTTCAATACATGTACAAAGAAATCAAAACAAAACCTCAGCAAAATACATCTACAAAGTTGCCACAAGTTTTCAAATCCTTCTACATCGATCACAGCTCTAACAAGAAACTTCATGACACACAGAAAGATTCAGCACCCCGCTTGTTTACGCCCAATCAATATTGCTTCATTCGGCAAAACACAATCATACCCTCAGTTACGAAGGGGCACGAGGCACCAGCTTCGTGTCCCCTCGTAACGGAGGGGTGATTGCTGACATCACATATCTTGCAAATCCTTTATATACACAAAAGTTGCATTCACCGCTCAGCTTATGGGTTTTCCCTCCACTTCAACCAGCAGCAACCACAGAGTCACTTTCCTCAATCCACGATGAACAGTTGCAAAATAATTCATTGACGAAACGACCAATCACAAGCCTCCACACTAACAATGGAAACCACTTCAATACATGTACAAAGAAATCAACACAAAACCTCAGCAAAATACATCTACAAAGTTGCCACAAGTTTTCAAATCCTTCTACATCGATCACAGCTCTAACAAGAAACTTCATGACACACAGAAAGATTCAGCACCCCGCTTGTTTACGCCCAATCAATATTGCTTCATTCGGCAAAACACAATCATACCCTCAGTTACGAAGGGGCACGAGGCACCAGCTTCGTGTCCCCTCGTAACGGAGGGGTGATTGCTGAAATCACATATCTTGCAAATCCCTTATATACACAAAAGTTGCATTCACCGCTCAGCTTATGGGTTTTCCCTCCACTTCAACCAGCAGCAACCACAGAGTCACTTTCCTCAATCCACGATGAACAGTTGAAAAATAATTCATTGACGAAACGACCAATCACAAGCCTCCACACTAACAATGGAAACCACTTCAATACATGTACAAAGAAATCAACACAAAACCTCAGCAAAATACATCTACAAAGTTGCCACAAGTTTTCAAATCCTTCTACATCTACAAAGTTGCCACAAGTTTTCAAATCCTTCTACATCGATCACAGCTCTAACAAGAAACTTCATGACACACAGAAAGATTCAGCACCCCGCTTGTTTACGCCCAATCAATATTGCTTCATTCGGCAAAACACAATCATACCCTCAGTTACGAAGGGGCACGAGGCACCAGCTTCGTGTCCCCTCGTAACGGAGGGGTGATTGCTGAAATCACATATCTTGCAAATCCTTTATATACACAAAAGTTGCATTCACCGCTCAGCTTATGGGTTTTCCCTCCACTTCAACCAGCAGCAACCACAGAGTCACTTTCCTCAATCCACGATGAACAGTTGAAAAATAATTCATTGACGAAACGACCAATCACAGGCCTCCACACTAACAATGGAAACCACTTCAATACATGTACAAAGAAATCAACACAAAACCTCAGCAAAATACATCAACAAAGTTGCCACAATTTTCTATACAATACAACACTCTTGCTCACATCAAATCAATTATACAAGTCGGATAGGAACCAAAATCAGAGCGGTAGCAAGATACTTTATGGTAAGATAGCTGTTCTCTAAATCACTTGGAGATAACACTCTTGCTCACATGAAATCAATTAAACAAGTCGGATAGGAAACAAAATCAAAGGGGTTTCAAGACACTCGATGACACACGGTAAGACAACACTCTTGCTCACATGAAATCAATTAAGCAAGTCGGATAGGAAACAAAATCAGCGCGGTTGCAAGACACTTTATGACACACGGTAAGACAGCTGTTCGGCAAAATTCAACCACCTCTCCCTCAACGACTGCTTCGTGACCCGTCGTTGAGGGAGAGGATGCCTGATGAAATACGTTCTATTGCAAATCCCTTATATGCACCAAACATGCATTAACCGCTAAGCTTGTAGGGTTTTTCTCCATTTGAAAGAGACAGCAACAAAACAGTCACTATGATGAACCAACAATATAGAAGATGCAAGACAATTGATGGAGGAAACCGAACAATCACGAGTCTCGGCGCTGACAGCGTCAACCAGTTCGATACAAGACAGCCCTCGAGGCTCGAGGCGTCCTCTAAATTACTTGGAGGTAAGCCACTTCCTCAGATGAAATCACTCGAAGAAGTCGATATTACTCATGAGAAACCGACATCAACGTGTACATACTATATTCATCAAAATCAAGAGGCGGTTTATGAACCGCGTGGACCAACCTCAAAAGACTCCATGGTCGAGTAAGCGTTTTGTTAATTTTCTTCCTCATTATTCCAAAATCCATCGGATCTTTAATAACGTCATAATAATCCAGAACCTGAAAGAACCAGCAGCAAAAAAATGGTCAGGACTGAAAGAGGGTGCGACCGACTCTGCTGTCCAGACCTCCACAAAGTCCATCAAATTACGATTGAGACTGTAGAGCATATGATATGAGTTTCCCAAGAGACGAAAACTTAAAAACGTGCATTCAGAAGAAGCTACTGCACCCATGACTTCGTTTCTAAAACATCAGATTGCGGATTACCTGAGCCGCATCCACAGGTTCTGCGAAAACTCCATAGGTGTCTTTCCTAAGGGGCAGAGAGAACACAACCAGAAATCAGCTTGAGCATGCAGCACATCATGCACATCGTACTTACGAGAGAAGACGAAGAAAACAACCAACACTACGAACACATGGTCTTCCCGTCTCCATTACATGCTACATGCATGTGTGAAATTCAAAGATGAGCATTAAAAAGCTCCCCGCAGTGCAAGCGGCAAGCATACAGAAGTGAAATGATGTGACCTGATAATAGTTATCACTTGTCAAAATCCTACACAGACAACATCCGCATTCAAATGTGATAGCCAGGGAAATACTTTTGCAGCTTGTCAAGGACACCTTCTAGCAGGGGTTTGGAGATCGGTTGCAGCGGTAGCTGCGTCTGTTGTGGTGGGCCTGCGCAGCCGTTCGTAACCAGTAAACTCGATCAGCGTTAACTACTCATCAAAATTTTAGAACAGCAGAGTACAAGTAGGAGCTCACTCACTGAAACTCAAGTCGAGCCAACAAAGAGAGCTGGCATGTCATCCTACTTTGAGAGACACTAGGCCCGACCCCAGGCGCAGGCACTTCAAGTTTAGATTCCGGCTTGACCTGTTTCTGCAACAAAGAGACAATGACACCAGGAATGACTAACAGTACAGATTATATCCACTGACGACCAGTACAATTACAACTAAGGCGATGGTTCCACAATGGCAGGAAGAAAAGGCTGTGACAGAGAGTAGTCTGAAGGCCAAAAATTATCTTTCGTACCAGAGCCCTTAATATAGAAAAAGCGGTATCGAGCGGAGATAACTTACGCCTTCGTCTAGGAGCGCGGAAGCTTCTCAGGCGCTTACAGGTAAAAGTAGGAGCATGATTTTTCGACATTTCGGTGTGGGAAAATTTGCTTTTGGTGTGGTGGATGATTCTTCTTCAGTAGTGTACACAGGGGATAAAACATGACATCGGCAGAGAGATACTTTACAGAATTCAGGCACCATCACTTGCTTCACGTTTCTCATCTGTCCTTCCGAGATGTCAGGAATGTGTATCCTGGGCTTGTCTCGGTTCTCTGGTAGGATAAAGGGTGAGAAGTAGAACACAGGCCGCATGGCGCAGGTAGGGTTTCGTGCAGCTAACCTGCAGGTACAGCAAAATTCCTTACAGCAGTCACATTCCGACACTCACTTCCAACATTTTATTCATGGAACATGGCGACCTAGCAATCAACCGTCCGTCACGCCTGTCGCGTGTAGAGAGTGGGTACAAATTCAGTAACAGCGACCTTCGCAGGCTAGGAGAAACGGTGTGGTCCAACAAGTCACATCATGCAAGCAGCGTGGGTGACTTTGCGGCTTCTGACATACAACTTTCAGAGCCTTGTCAGAAGCGGCAGGAACAGCTGACAGCGATGGGTTTTACGACCAAGAAAAATAAGGTGTAGAAGAGCGACGGCGAAAAAAAAGCTGGTGGCACCAAAGTGTCCATAAAACCTCGCAATTCGTTCGAGAGTCGGAAAAGCTCTAGGCGTAAAATCCACGCTCACTCACCTTGTGCGACTTCTTGGCCGGTGGTGGTAATGGAGCAGCCGGGGACGCGCGCGCTGCGGCCCCCGACGAGGCCGCCGCAGCAAAACTGATTGCGCCATCCCTGACACCGGCTAGATTATCGTCGGCGCTGGGAGCTCCCACGACCAGCGCCCCGCTCTGCTCGACGACCTTGAACTTCCTCTTCTTCAGAGGCGTGTGCTGTTGAGTGTTAGGGGCATTGGGCGCACTGCCGGGGGCCGATGTCGTTGTCGATGCCGCAACCGATCCGGATGCTGCCGCAGAGGCCGATGCCGATCTGAGGTGAGAAGCGGACTGAGCCTGCAGCGCCGAGGATGATGCGCCAGCATGATGAGATGACACATTTTTGCGGTGATCTTGTGAAGGCGAGAATTGTGATGAAGGGAATGAAAAAGCAGAGGCGGACGAATTTAAAAAATTTCTGATTTTTTATGCCATTTTTTGGAAAGTCTGATTTATTCTTTAAGATTTAAAAACATTATAAAATGATTTTTACAAAATTTCTCTAGAAAGTATTGTCATTTACCATGGTTGCATAGAACAAATTTGAATTACTGAATATTTAAAAATGTTGAATCAAAATTTGCATTGAACAAACTTTTCATGAGTTAAACCACAATGTGATTGCATCTTCATTACAGGTTTGATAGTTTAGTTATTTATAGATCAAATTTTGTCATTGTTGTGTTATTCATTTTTGAAAGTTGTTGCTAGTTTGCTTTGTTGAAATATATCATTCAAATCTCATGCTAGTTGTGATAATAGTTTTGTTATGAAAAAAAAAAGTAATTCATTATAGGGAGTGACTAGTTATATTTTAGTTTTGGCTCACTCACCATCTTATACCATGCAGAACAAAGTTTTGTGATTGGTTAGAGCTATTTCTATGTTTACTAGAGCTGTGAGATATAGTTTTCGCGGACACAAGTAAAGGTGAGAACTAGTGCACATTAGGCTTGGGTGGGGGATAACTAGCACCTCCATTATTATATTTTTAAATTTTTATTTTATATAACAAATCTCTTGTTTTAGATGATGTATGAAAATATTTTCAAATAGTCAATAAAATGAAGAAGTTAAATTGGATTTACTTGGAAAATGAAGTGTTGAGCAAAAAGCCCACTGGTAGTCGGTACATACAATTTAGTTAGATTTCAAGGATACAGTTTACTGAATTGATAAGGGGAGTTGAATGAATGTATCGAAGAAAGTTTCATTACTAAATTTCAAGAGTTTGTTACAATTATTGTTAGGTGGTGGAGAAGTAACTTTTAAGGAGAGACATTACATGGATATAAATATATGTAATAAAATTCTCTTGATTTCAAAATTCATTCAAAACAAAAATTCTCTTTTCTGATTAATATTTTGGTCCACGGTCAGAAAAATTTCTTGTCGAAGGTAATTAACCAAGTGACTGGAAGTAGTCTTTGAGTAAAAAACAAGCGAAACAATTGGGATGTACACTTATCACTCTTGGCATATTTACATTAAAGCTTCCACCCTTTTTATGAAGCGTAGCTCACATGGTAAGGCGATCGCTTGGAATGCCAAAGACAAGTGGATCGTTACTCCACGCAGCGACATTGGGTTTGCTCTGGACTTGTTTTAGCTGTTCCTACAGACCGTCGTTTCTGTTCGTAAAACTGATCTCCGATCGGCATTTTCTTGCAATTTTAGCAAGGAACAAGTTTTGGGGTTCTGTTCTCAAGTATCATCTCTAAACTTTCATCATCGAATAATGAAACTTTAGAGAATTCATATAGATTCACAAAAGAATCTCTACGTTTCTCCAGCTAAGATTACGCTGAGTTCCATGTTGCAGGTGATGCGGGTTGCCAAAAGTTTTTGTTACGAGGTAAAGGGGTCTAATGGATACAGATGACAGTCCATTCGAAGCCTTCTCCTCCTGTGAAATCTTAGCTTCCTCCGCAGGAATTTTCTGCTTTTTGTGAAAATATTCCAGCTCGCTCGTCAGAAACATGCTCAGGTGACTGTATGTCGTCTTCTACTGACTGTTCCTCTCAGTTTATACTCAAATTGCTAGGGCAGAGGTGGAAATACCGTTCGTGACAGACCATAGTCAGGGAAGCTCAATTTCCCTTCCCCAGACTCGGCCTTACTGTACAAGGCAAACTGTGCTGTAATTGACGCTGAAATATAATGTCCACCAGGCAATGTATGAAGGTAAAGGCCAAGTGGGAGGACACTCGGAGATTCCAGGAACCATATGATCCCAGATTGGGAATCAGCATTTTCAGTTCTTTCGGAAGCGATAGATATTACCAGAGAAAAGGTTGTAGAAACAAGTGTGCTCAAAATTGTCTGTCATGTGTCGTCAAATGCTCCCACACGCTCAGAAAAATGGCCTGGATGCTGGAAGAATTCCACCACCATAAGAGCAGCAGAGAAAGGCCACCAGTCTTGCATCGTGACGGATATGAATATGTAGTACTGAAACATGAGCACGAACAATAGAGCAAACGCCAAATCCGGTCCCCTAGTCATTCAAATTTGTAGCAAGGCGATCTTCGTCGAGTTTCCTTGATTACGGTTTATAAGATGCTTTGCAATTCGACCGGACAGTCAGCAAGACATAACCTTCATCAAGATTTGCTTCATAATTGGGTCCAGACGGTTTCACATTTGCGCACGATCAAACTCACAGGGCAGCATTCAACATTTGAAATCCAAAAATGAGTCCATAAACTGCGTTCATTCGAGTCGCAGGATATCACAGTCCGATGCGTCGGAGGAATTAGTCTGAAGGCCCGTGGAGCGCCAAGCGCAGGAGACACGAAAATGTCAAAGATTCGCTCGATGGACGGAACGAATCTCTGGCGCAAGACCTTCGAAGTTTACGTTGGCACTCCCCTTTATCCCAATCCAGGGAGCAGAAGATACATTCCGTGACGTTTTCTGCAGCCAAGGTACATAAGGCGTCTGAGTTCACGGTTTCGGCATCCGATTGTGAACTCCAATGCAAGAATCTATGGGCAGAAAAGGCCACTTTCACTGGAGCCATGGGCTGTGATAAAATATCCTCGAAAATGAGAAGAAAGATCCAAGCTTACAGCCTTTTTCAAGTCAAAATTTTCATCGAAAAATGCGAGAATAGTCCATCCGTTGCGGCTGTAGGGCGGTACAGACCTGGAGGCAAGTGGTCGAATTGATTCAGATCTGTCATCGAAGTGCTTCGTATCCTCCAACCGGCACCACTGCCTGCATCACAGTGTGAATTCGAAGATCTAAAGTTGGTCTAGAAAATAAATGCATCTGGCTGCGGCGTCCTTCGACGTTCCCTTACCACTCGATGATTTGGGTCTCAACTGTATGGCAACTCACAGATTCTGCTTGATCGATCTTTCCCGTTCCCTCCATCGTACCTTGTGGTCGTACCTGTAGAGGAGGTCGTTGGTGAGCTGTCCGGTCAATCATGCCACTGCTTTCCCTGGAAGCTGGTTGATCATCAAGTAAATTTGGGCGGGATTTCCCGGCGAAGTTCATTGTTCTGGAGTATATCGTTGGCCTTCAATTTGTGTCTCCGACTTTTGAGTTTCCTTTTTGTCGGGCATGTTCTTCAAACACATGCTGCATGAAGTTCTGACGGGCGACCGGTGGGAGCGATTTCACACGTGGGTTTGGCCGTCATCAACTTAGCCTCAGAACAAGGGGTACGATAGAGTGAAAGTTGCAGCATGTGTTTTCCTCGTACACATTGATACATAAATGTTCATATACTAATATCATTGAATTATCCAGATCTTTCAATCCCAAATTTCGTTGGCAAGATGGCGAAAAGAGTGACTTTTTGATTCTTATGCAACGTGGCTGAGAAATATCAAACTGAGATGTGATATGGGTGTTCACTACAAATGAGTTGTTTTTGTCACGAGACTTCTATGAACATACATTTGTCTCTCTTGTGTACAGCATTGTTACTCGTCAAGAACAGTGGTGGCCATCCCCGATTCTGCTGTGAATTCACCGCCTTTGAGCAAGGAGTGAGGTTGAAATGACATTATATTTACTTAACTCCAAAACAAATATGAAACTGCATAATTAAGCTGTTGATTCATCTTCTCATGTATCCAAACTTTCTTTCACACTAAAGATTTATGCATTACTTGGAGAAAAATGTACAAGTATTCAATATGCTTCATTCTTTGCAATATCTTGGCACACCTTGAGATGGAAAATCCTCATCTAATTCGATGAACTCTAAGATAAAATTTTAATATTTAATGTCTTAAAGCTGGTTAAATGGTTTTTACAGTTCGTATCTTGAAAAATAGAATAATGATACTTATCATGACAAGGTTGACATTTTTTTGTAAGCTTAATTGTTGAGAGTTCAAGTTGGATTGGAGCTTTGATTAAATGAAGTCTTTGATCAATTATTTGCGATGTTCTTATTATAAATGTTTGATTTTAACGTTTTATTAATAATGAGTAAAACATTACAGATTCAAATATGTGTATGCAATTTCATCATGATAATTGGCTTCAAGACCGTTCTCAATAGTAGAAATATTATTTTTCTTTGACACTTCATCATTCTCAACACAAATAGAAAAAAAATCCACATCATAAACATGAAATTAATCTACTTGAAGCTATCATCACTTAACACACATAGTAATGTATTCAGAACGTTCCAATTTGTGTCGCAAAAAGTTGGTGACAGCTCTTTAATATAAATTTAATAAAATAATGGAATTAATCACAGTCTATGTATTTAAAGTTAAGTAAAACATTAGTCATATGTTTAAATGTATTCTAGTTAACGATATTTTTTCAAAAAAATTTGAACCTAGAATTTAAAATGAGATACTGGAATAAATAAAACATGATTAATTAAAAAATTTACCAAAACTTGTATTTACATTTATGAAATATTCTTTATTTGATCCCTCACTTCATGTATAAAAGGGATTTTTATATTCTTTCAATGAATTTCAATATCTAGATAATATTATGTATATAATTTGATCATTTTAAGTTTTATACATCAAAATCTTAAAACAAAAATATTCTTAAAAATAAATTAATATAATTTTTTGCTGGACTCAGATCGTATTCAAATGTTTACTCAAGATTTGCATTAATATCATTATTTATAAAGTGTATTGATAGATGTAAAGTATATATTTGACTTTTACTTGTTGAGTATAACACGTGTGTTTAGGATTAACCTCTTGCTAGCTAAGTTAGGTAGCTCACATTCGGGACTGGAGATTTACAACCCCATGGTTTATTGACTGAAACTATCACTTTACACAGATTATACAAACGGTTACCATGATTCTCTACTGTGGACGTCTGAGTGCTACGTCCACAGACGGATGAATCACGTTATAACTCTTTAGACTGGTGTTGTATTGTCTCATTGATATTGGTGTTGATTCTGGATGTATTGTCACTTGTAATTTTGCTAATTCTGGGTTAAGTGCTTCCAGTTCTATGTTTAAATTGATTGCAAGAATGTATATCGATTCTTCAACATTGAAATCTAAAAATGAAAATCCTCATGATTATGAAGTGAGTTATAAACATGAAAACTATGTGAAATGCTACACAGTTTTGAGTAGTTTTCTCAGAACCATATGCACAATTGATTAAAAACTGTAATTTTAACAAAAAGAACTACAAAGTGTACTTAAAACGGATGTCAGTCTATTGTGGTGATTTGAAGTTGGAGATTTATGAGATTTCCTAAGTTGTGAGAATCTCATCTTAAGGCATGCAAGAATCCATACCGTTTATATACCATAAATTATCGCGACATTTGTCAAATATTATTGAACAATGAATGAACTTAGGTCACGTAGGGAGTGGAGGATGATGTCGTCGTACTAAGGGTCCGAATCAGATTTTGAGTCCTAGTGTTAATTAGGCATGTGTCACACCATGATCATCTCATTCTGGTCTTGGATTCAGGAGTAAAGCGTTATGTTCAAGAACGTTTGCTACGTGGAAGAGAAACTTGACAACAGGCTCTTCTGTAGACGGCTAACCGAGTTGCGATTGGAGGAAAGTTTCACACGGTATACATCAACTGCGTACAGAGTACGACGAGAGACAATAATAGTCGAGGTCACAATGACCTCAACAGAAACTTCAGTAGTTGCAAAATGTAGAACAATCGAAACTAGAATTTAAGAAGATTGCAGCCTACTGACGGTGGGTTACTTTCATGAAGCACTTCGAGCACGTTGGAGGCAGAATTTATTATGACACGAAGTTTTCTTTCAAGTCTTGAAGGCTTTGCTTACGTAGAGAGCCAAGCATGAAGTTGTCTTATGCTTGTGGAAATTTATCCTCATCTCTACTTAAATGAAGGGTTGATTGAACTGATTCGGCGTGACTGCAAGGAACGTACTCCAGGAATTGAAATTATTATAGAGGTGCATATTTGCAATGGAAAGATTTCCCAAGACCAAACCACAAGTTATCCTGAATCTGAGGCTGTTTATACTATGATGTACCCTCCCCGTAATCTCGGTTTGTATCTTTTACTGTTTTTTTCCTCGAAATGAGTGCAACATCTTCTGGAAAGAAAATGACAGCTTGAAAAAGATATGGAGAATAACGCCTTGGCATCATAATATCAAATTGTAGCACTAATAGTTCTTTCGCAGTTCTTAATTGAACCCCTTGTTTTACTGAATGAAGCAGAAAGTTTATACATGTCTTCTTCTCTTCTCTAAGTTTTGGCTGCTAAGAACAACAAAAAAACCCACCAATTTGCTAGTAGAGCAAGACTCTAAGAGAGCGATCCCAGAAGCCAAGCCGCTTAGAATTTCAGATTGCCATCTGAAATTCAAAGTATCGAGACATAGATGCTTTGATCGAAAGAATATTTCTACCGGAATGATTTTAAAACAGAAGGTAGCAAAATCTAAGCAAGGCGCCGTAAGGTTCTTGTTGATCAACTTTTTTGTCAGTCTCAATGGTTTTCGAATTACACTGGTTCGTAGCACATTCTTACTTATGCACAGACATTTGCCCAGAAGCTTCAAGCCACGTTACAAAAGTTACTGGACTGGTTCCTGGAAGCTATAGTCGTTGCCAATGCAAGGCTTCGGGGTTGTTTCAAATCAGAGAGAAGACATGTGTTTCGATCTGTTTTCAGTAAAGAGTCGGATGACCATCGGCATAGAAGGATTTGTTTATTTATATATTTCCATTGATTTTATGTCCTCGAATTCAAGGGGAGCTCTATTATTTAATCATCCCAGTCCGACAGGAAAGAGTCAAAGCATTGTCTAGATCTGTTGTGTTAAACTGGTCTGGAGATTCGTTCCATCATCATCGCAGGTCAGATTTAGTATATTGTCCAATGTAAACCAATATCCGTTTCAAATTGAGTTTTACTGCTAGTAAACTCAGTGAGGAATAAAATATGATACGCTAGAAGAATCATGAATTTGTGCTGTACACAGGCTTTACCTACATAACGTGTGCTGAGTTGATTTTTACAAGATCTCAACAGATAAACCAATTTTTGAGCAGAGTCAGTACCGAGAATTTCAATCATTTTCGGTTCATTAGTACAAGTTTTCAACAGATATACAATTTTTTGGGCATACGGTTAGTACTGGTGATTTCAATCATTCTAAGCGCACTTCAATCTTTTAAAAACTTATGATTCGCACTTTCCACGTTAGGATTTTGGAAATAAAACTTTTGTTTCCACCTGCAAATATTCAGTGAAAAGGACTTTTTTTACCTTAGCAGTATTTATACAGAAATACGCCAGAAGTTATATTTTACTTGTAGTATTAAGATCGTGTACGTAAGCTGTGTATACGCTCATGCGGATGTACAGCACTACGTAACTTAATGTTTTTACAGCCCATAATTTCTGTAACATTCTTGTTTTAATTTGGATAGCCTCGCCGGTACGTATTGAGTCTAACAAGACCTGTAATTATCAGTGATAGATGATAAAATTTATTCGAGTGTTTGGTCGTCAAATTTCACATTACAAGATGTACAAGGAGGAACCATAAACTCCTAAGAATCCAAGCTGAAATAAGCTACGATATCTCACAGATTCTGTTCTGAAACTGACTATGAATACACTAATGACGCCTCTCCCAAAGAATTTCTTCAAAGATACTCGGACATCCCGTCGCACATCGTGATACCTATACATCACCGCTACACCACCAAGAGTGAGAATCGAGCGAGAACCGCCATATAATTTCCGAAGCATGTGAGGTACGACCGTCGAAGGCCTCGGTTGCACTTAATGGATTAGAGGTCCCTGGCGAATCATCTCGTCAATCAACAAAGCGGCGAAGCCGATCATGGCGAGACGCCCATTCCAACGTTCAGCCCGAGCATTGAATGGACCCCAGCTCCTGGCATCCGTAGATTCACCATTCATAATGGGCACCATGGAGGCATAGGTGAAGAGCTGCACAGCAGCGACGAAGAAGACGAGGCCGGAGGTGGCCGGATTGAAGATTTGCTCCATCACGGTCAAACCCGTAAGTTTCTCGGCACAGAGAGCCCACACAAAGCCCATCATAGCCTGCAAGCGGGGAAAGCAGCACGGCACCCAGAGATGGTCAGAAATCAGGAATACTGCTCAGCAACCTTTCTCGAGCGTTAAATAAGAGTTCGAGCTGTCATTCGGAACCCAGAGGAACATGTCAAAATTAAACAACTTAATCACTTATTACATTTCCTGCTCCTGCCGAGTGCATGGGCTATCCTCAAGGTCTGTGCCATAATATGCAACTGCGGCTCTAGGCGGGATAAGCGAGACAATCTAAGAACAGACAGACCACTCCTCGCGAAGGAAGGAAGAGCAGCGAGAGGAACTCACCAGTCGACCATTGATGGTCTCAGGGGCAGCTCCGTCGAAGGCGAACACGCTCCCAAACGACTTAGAGCCCGTCTCGGGGCGTCTCTCGATCTCCGGGCGAGGGTAGAAAGAGCCAGAGTTAGGGACGGCCCCGAACACTGACTGCTTTTCAGACTGATTCTGCTCCTGATTCTGAAGAATGTCTTCCTTGGTGATTGGAGTCTTCGTAGCCCTGTCCACTGACTCCTTCAACCCTCCCAGCGGGTTCTTCCCGTTCGATCCTGCGTCGCAGCGAACGAACGCCCTCCTGCTAGCCCCTGAGGACGTCGAGGTCGAGGGCCTGCTCAGAGCCTTGTAACTCAGAGACGGAACACTCCTCAAGCACATGGTGGCTGCCATCTTTACCCGTCTACGGAGGCTAAGGCTTCTTCCTCGAGGTGGTCGCTCGTACACGCAAGGACAGCTGACCGCGTAGAATACCGAGAGGCGAGAGAGAGAAGGCACGGAGAGACTTACACAATACAGCGAAAAGTTACTCTGGACACGATGCACGAAATTCGGCTGCGTTGATTATGATAACCTCTGCTGCCGCAGCGAGGGACTTCATATAGCTAGCCGATCAGGTCTGTGTCCGCTGCTTCCGATCGACGAGCCCTCTCCGCCAATGAGATTCCTCTGCGCATGAACTTTTCCGTTTCACGAGGTGTCAACTTTTCTACCTGCCACTTGGGTGAACTCGGCAGAATTTCTACCGGTGGTTCGCAGACAGACATGTATCACTGGATTGATCGTCGAGGTGGCAAGAGTTCATGGAGCGCGCAGCTAAACGGGCACACCGAGCGCGATCAGCCCTGATACTTGTGTCTCCCTAATCACGTCCGCCACCACAGGGGCACCCCTTCTCCTCTCCCCAGCCACGATCTTTGCGCAGCTGGAGGCGGAATGGATAATCGTTCTCCTCGCGGGGGTTAGGATGTTCCTCCGCGAACTGCGCGTGAAACTCTCGTATTTACGTAGACTGCTCCAAATTTACCCACGTGTTCCTGGAAAGCTTTGACACGATCGGTAAACTCTGCATGCTCGCCGGACGATGGAGAAGCGAACAACAGACCCAGAATCATTGAGCGAGCCTGGGGCTCTACAGAGCGCCATGACAGCCGGGCCAAGTCAACAGAGGTCTCCTCGGCTCGGTACATATATATTCGTGGGGCGTCAACACCAATCAGTCAAGCAAGCTTCCACCGGCGGACATTTTGTACGCAGCATAGTTATATCATCCTTACGTTCACATTCAAATTCACGTCTATTACAGTGAAATACCACTTTTACTCCAATCGCTCTTGTCGAATCCATCATCGACCCGGGCAGCACTTTTGGAAGTCAACATGGCAGCCATCATGTCGGCGATGCAAGTTTCCAGTGCCGCTGCAATTGGAGGTCGGAGTAGCTTCTCACGGAGCACTCGCTCGGGCAGGCACTGCACGGGACTCACGAATTTCAAGGCCCCTGCCTCGACCAGGAGGAGTCTGATCCGCGTCGAGGCCAAGGACGGGCTGCAGGAAGCCGTGGACAGGAGCACCAAGGTTGAGATCACTCGCGACGATATTCTCAGAAACCAGGAAGAGAACCAGTCAGAGAAGCAGTCTGTGTTCGGGGCCGTACCGAGCTCTGGAGGCTTTTACCCACGCCCCGAGATCGAGAGGCGGCCAGAGACCGGTGACAGATCTCTCGGCAGCATTTTCGCCTTCGACGGCGCTGCGCCCGAAACTATCAACGGCCGGATGGTGAGTCCACAGCGTGGCTTGATTTGGACTCTTATCATATGAACGTCGATTTACGCAGACACTCCCGAATCCATCTCAACATGCCACTGCTGCTTACTGGATGTTCTACCTTGACCTGCTTTCTGTTGACGAATGTCGAGCTTGAATCTGTATGGGACTCTTGTTCAAAGCTGGCCGTGTTTTGTGCGGGGGGAGGTATCTAATGATATGAGATGGTTGTGTGATTGTGCAGGCCATGATAGGCTTCGTGTGGGCCCTCCTGGCGGAAAAAGCAACGGGGCTCGGTGTGCTCGAGCAGGTCATGAATCCCGGAGCAGCCGGGCTGGTCAATTTCGTTGCTGTTGTGCAGATCTTCACATTCGCGTCCATCGTGCCGATTCTGAAAGGAGAGTCCACAGACGCTCGTCGATGGGGTCCGTTCAGGGCTCAAGCCGAGCGCTGGAATGGACGTCTCGCTATGATCGGATTTGCTGCTCTGATCATTGATGAGGCCATCCGTGGGATGCCATTCATTTCCGCTCTCCATTGAGACGTCTTTACTGTCGGGAGTGAGTAGTTGTATAGTAGTGGATGTGATACGGTAGCGCTTTCAGGAAGATATTTCCGCTCATGATTCGCACTCCGAAGCAATCATGAGCTCCAGAACTTCCAAGCGAGTTCAGTGCTCTTCCTAGCATTGTGTGATACTAGAAACTTCGAAACCCTCCTTAGAATTTGTTTTTGTCTGCTGTACATTGACGGCCATGGAGGTATATCTCCCGGCATGTAAACTTTGCGATTCTGATAATGTCATGAATCAAATCTTCATCCATACAGATATACGTGCTGCGAGATTGTGTTCGCTTCAATGTCCTCCAACTTACAGACCGAAAGTATCTTGAAAGTATTCTTTATTAAAAACTCAAAATCACACTACAATAAATAAGATCGATTTCAGTCATAACGTTGCTCTCAAATTGTAACGGTGTCCATGTATTTCTCGACACAAGTACATCAAGTAGCAACCCTGCCTGACGTACTTGTGTCGAGAAATACATGGAAAGTGAACATCTACTAAGAAGGTTTAATCTCAGAAAACAATTTTATAAGAACACGGCTGATAGGCAATAAAAGTAACAAGCAAAAAGTAATCATCGTAATTTAAATTTGCAAAGTATAATTAAACAATTACGATTTATTAACAAAATCTTCATTTTGATACATTCCGAAAATTGATTAATTATACCAAAAATATTATTTAGCGGGGAAAACTATGTTGTTACACGTATACGTATATTTCAGTATGGATGGAGAAGAATGTAAAGAAAATAGAGAAAGAAATTATCGTGTGAGGAAATAAATTTTAACAGACCACTATGATCGTTATCAATTATTTCAAAATCTAGTCTCATATGTCAACTTTCTACGTTACCATTATAACTAACATTCTCTGGAATCGATAGATCCCGATGCTGGTACGCTGGAATGGGTCAGACATACAATCATTGCAATACCAGCTGACTGCTGGAATTCTACTAGACAAGTAGTAGAAAGTAACACGATATACATGATAAATGAAAAGGTCTGTTTCATGACAATACACAATGATGCTCGAAGCTAGCACGCAAAAAGAGAAAACATGTGCAGTAGAAGCGGTTCGATTCAAGGAGTGGCATACGGCGAGGACTGGTATCAACGTAAGGTCGTACGAAGAGTATGGATATTGGCACGGAGCCTTTCTGATTGATCTGGGATGGCCTGGCTGCAGGAGAAACTACAGTGACACTTGTGAAACTAGCACCACAGTGAGTAATGGTACTGTAAAACATGGGTAGATGGAAAGCTGAGCCGATTCTCTCCGTAGATAGATCCCCGGACGCCACAATCATAGAAATTCTCAGAGTTTAGGCTGAAAGACTCAATTTACATTACACTGTGTTGATGTGAAGAGAACGCTTTCAGCCTAATCTCTGAGATTTTCCATGATTGTGGCGTCCGGAGATTTAACTTTATCAGTCTCGACAAGGAGCTCCAGTGTGTCACGTGGTACATATAATCAACTCCGAATTTCATTGCCGAAATCGGAAAGGAAGAATTTCGAAGTCACACTTTACGTGCACCATATACTCTCTGGTCATAGACTCCGAGCAAGGGCTATCGAAAACAGCGGAGAGTCTGAATTGACACCCAGCTCACGGAAGGAACAAAATTGAGGATCCTGTACGATGTATCGTACTCTCGGTGGTCTCCTTCGACAAAGTGTATCGTGGTGGGAAAATCTCCTGGTTTGAGATCTCACCGACCCCAACCAACGCAATTTAACGAGGCCCCGTCGCAGTCCAGGCTCCGAAAGCCTGACGCTTGCGCGCTAGCTCGGTGGAGTGATAGTACAGTAGTAGTAGTTCAGGGTCCAGAATGGACAGGTCTGAAGTTCCAGTACAGCAACAGCGGGAACGAGTTTCTGAAAGCCCTTTCCTCACCTGGGCACCTATTTCCGAGGGGAAGTTGCAGTGGTAATCATGTTGGAGAAGGCTGACAGTTCCCGGTCGCAGCCAGTTTTTTCAGGAGTTTACCTGTTAGTGCAGGTGCAACTTGTACCAAATCTTCCTACGTCAATCTGGGACCAACCGGCAGGGGAATTACTGGGTATGAAAAACCACATTAATCGGACGGCCACCTAATGTCACAAACTTCTGCTTGTATATCGTTCACTGAACACTGATTAATTAATTGCCAAGTACATGTCTCAATGAAATAGTACAGGTCAGAATCAGCTGCCGAAACGGACCGAACAACGCCCTGACGGACTGGAGAAGATATACCTCTTATCCGTCAGGATCGGTACCTCGTCCCGGACAGACGCCGACGGAGTGAACGGAAGAAGCATATGCCTCTAAGATTCTCTACCCGTCACGCGTTTTGATTCCATGTGACGGAGCCTACTCCTACTGCCCTGCACTGGACCCATGCCTCATCGACCTGTAACCCGCCAGGGATTATACCAACCTCTCGTACGGGTTCCTCCTATTTTCTCACCTCCTACCGCAGAAATTGGCTCCTATGAGCAGTTCGGAGTTCATCTTTCATATTTAAGTTTTCTAGGGCCTACCTCTATCCACAATCATTTTCAAATGCTAGACATTTTTTTTATTAAATGAATTTATGTATAATTTGATTTTCACATATGTACATTTTAGTATTTTGGTTTAAAATGTATTACTATATTTATATTTGGAATTCAATAACTTAAAATTTGGAAACTACTAGTTATATTTACTCACTCCGCTGCGAGGTCTTCCACGAAACATTGGACGTGTGTTATCGGCAGTCCAACCTTCGGCCGCTATAATTAAGTGCAAACTGAGGGTTGGTAACAAGAATGATATACTTGATCTGATGTGTTCCCATTGGAACCAACCGGTTGTCCATGATAATCCTTGCCAATGCAAGCAACCAGCAGTAGCACTAGTTGTGAACAAGATGAGATCATAGAATCATATTGTACTCGTGAATTTAGTATCATATTCTATGTATCATGAGTCCATATCACTCCAATTCATTTAGATTACTCACCACATTCTCACATGATGTGTATAACTTCAAATCATATCAAGGTCAAGGCATAGAATTGATAACGGAGTATCATATAAATATGATGACAGATAAAATGATATATATATACACTCCATATGACACAAGTTTGTATATTAAACAAGACGTCTTAATTGGGCACCGATTGAAGCGGCAACCTTCAAATATTTCATGTGTATTGATGTGTAGAAATATAAAATGCCTGCATTTCAAGATTTGCAATTGTATGGTGGTATGAATTGATTCTACAAACCAATGAATTTGGACAGAAATGAACAATTTAGTATTCTAGCTTTGAAGTTTGATAGAACTATGGACTTAGACCAGATAATGAGAGATTATACAAGAGATTTTCATACTATAAGAATGCATATCATTATATACATCATGTCATGTTGTATAGAAATAACGCTTTTTTCTTTCCAACTTAAATGTTGTCTACATACATCGCAAAGCACTAAGGGATTAAATCCAAGTGAAAGTCAAACTATAATTTAGAGGGTTACATAGCATGTAGACTGTTCAAAATGGATCAATATGACGTCATAGTTTCAGAAACACATTTCCCGATCTCTATACTCATCGTTATTTTTTCTTTCATGCCCATACAAACTCGTTCGGGTCCTTTTATCATTTTTGCTGTCATATACTCATCACTTGGAATTACCTGAAGGCCGTCACACTTAATTCTGTCTCAACTCTTCTGGATCGACGTTACTGCGTGCAGCAGATTGTGTACTTAAGTATCAAACCTCAAACCAAACACCTCGGCAAAACATGTTTTTATACCCAAACATCTAATGTTCTTACTTGTAGCCTTCATACAGGTTTTATCTCATCTAAGAATACACAGTTTTATTATTGATATTTTTACACATTCTCGTCGTGGAAGTTTTTGTGTTTTTTGATACTTTTATACAAAAATTGAAAAAAAATTTGAATCATAACTGCTCATAATTAAAATCAATCTCGAAATTATTTTTTTTATGAAACATAAGATCATGTTTTAGTTATTCCAAAATATTTAAAAAATTACAAAAAATTATCACAAGTAGTCAATAATATTATATTTTTTTAAAATAATTTTTTTTTTATGTTTTTTGAATTTATGGTGTTGAAAACTATTCAATTTTAGCTTCAATCTTCAGATGATAAATGAAACTCTAAACTTGAAATGTTTTGAACAGATTTGTTTGTCAATACTACACATGGCATCATGAATCTTTCATGCTAGACTAAATAACTTACTCAATCACTCTACAAACATATTTTGCAACTGATAGCATAACATGCAATTCAGATTGAATAATTCGAATCACTATATTTATTGAATATTTTGATGATTTGTATCCTTGTAATTGCTATTGAACGTATTCTTAATTTTAGATTTTTAATTTCACGTTATTAGTTATTAAGTATATGCAAAAAGCTCCTAGTGTCTAATTTAGAGTATAATATAATTTCATTTTTTTCAGCTTTTTCAACATTAAGATCATATTTTTCACTGCTCTGTTTGCATTACATTTATAAAACATTCAGCCATATTATTCGTCATGTAGACATTGTCAGGTTTTTTCTCACATTGTGCACCGTGTGTTACGACTGTTTGTAGTGTTTTATTACTTCTATCGGTGTGATTTAGATATGTTTGATAGAAAAAACACAGGGTCTTTTCATACTTTATACCACTACTTTTTATACAACACGAATGTGTTGAAAGTACTTGCACTTTGTGTTTCTGTTGTATATGTTGAATCGGCTCGTATCTTGATGTATTTCAAGGGCCATTCTCATCCTTTTTGCCGACATATCATAACTGCAGCGCATTATTGCAAAGTTGATCATTAAGTGTAATTGGAGACTAGACATGACTAAATAGCGATATGCTTGCACAAATGAAGAAGGAAATATGGATGTCTTCCTTGTGAAGATGACATAGCAGGATGACCTAACTTGTGTCGCAACTTACTATTCGAATATATCTTGTAATTTATTTACTATCTCTTTCTCGGATGATTTCTATCCTTTTCTCATGTGATACTCTTGGAAACAACAGGCTTGTGCTCCCGCGAAGTGCCACAATTCATATGTGCTTTAAATAGAATCTATCATTATGGTATGTCATGCTACACGTGATGAGATATTTTGGAGCTTCTCTTTTTGTATGTTTTTGTTTCGGTATCAGCGGAGAGAAGTAAGTCCATTCCACTTTATCAGAGACTCCTTTGTCCCAGGC